ACCACAGCAGGAAGAGCCCATGTGTCCTGGAGCAGCTGTCTTGTCTGGTGTCGTCCACGCTCCTCCCTGGAGCCTGATAATCCTCTTTGGACTCTGGACCCCTCCCTGCCTCTGAACCCAAACCTTATACCATTCCTCCTTTCTGGCCAGGTCCCTTGGTTCCTTTTGGGACTGCCCTTGGGCAGCCAGCTTCCTCAGAGTTGCTGAGAGCAGGAAGTACCTGGGAGTCTTCAAGCCACCCTCCAGGCCCGTGAAGACTAGACTGAGGTGAGATGCCCTCTGTTTGGAGGGAGTGGGACGGAGAGGCAGCTCAGGCTCCAGGCCTTGCCTCCAGTAAGGCTGAGGCTGTGATGGGGCCTGGAGCTGTCTTCCTGGGACCACCCCCTCATGTTTTGCTCCTCCCTGCTACCCATCTGGGACACTGCTTCTATCTACCATATGTCCTAGTGCCAGAGTTGTGCCTGGAGCCTGGCCCACAACAGTTACCCTCTGGGCATCAAAGTCTTGCTGCATGGGCACTTCTTCTAGAGTCTTCTGGGAGCTGGACAGGCCCAGGCCGAGGGTTACCAGCAGTTGTCTCTCCAGTGCCATGTCCCCACTGCTGAGAGGGAGCACACTCAAGGTCCCTGTTCCCCACGTACTCACCCTGAGCACTGTCCCACACAGATTCCCCAGACCTTCTGAAAGTATCCCCATGGGAGTGATACAACCCCTTTGGGCCCTAACCTGTGTCTACAAGGTGCTAGGAATGCCAGTCATTCTGGGGCAGGGAGTGGGAGTAGGCGGTCAGGTCAGTTTAATCACATTGTGATCTGTCCTGGAGCCAGTGGGAGTGGAGGGGAGGAGCCAAGGCAGCAGGCTCATCCCTGCCCCCCCCCCCATTTCCTTTCAGCCATAGCTTGGCCTTGGGGAGGAGGTGGGGAATGAGGGGATGATACACAATCTTAGGATGGTGCTGGACACAGAATGAATGAACTAGTTGTGTGATTTCTTACTCTTTATTTATGGTGGACAGCTTGTAGCCCATGCCTTCTCCAGCCCCATCCTGCACCAGGCTCACAGCATCTCACCTCCCTGTCCTCTTGCCATTAGTGGGGTCTGACTACACTGCCCACTCACACGCCAGGCCAGGCATGAAGTCAGACTGGTCTGGTAGGCAGTTCTCCATGTGGGAAGGTGAGGCCTCACCTGTCATCCCAGGTAGAGAGGAGTGGATGCCAGGGCACCTTGTCCATTGGGCTGTGACTGTTTGCCTTTTGCTTTTTTGCCTGCTCAAGCAAATGAACAGGGACTGCTCTTTTCCCCTTTGGAGGTTTGAGCCCTGCTGGGCTGGGGGTTCAGCAGGAGTCTTTCCACAGGAGGAAGTCAGGACAAGGGGGAGGGAGGAGGAGCCACTGTGGGTGACTTGGGGCAGGGAGGGGGGCCCAGACATATCCTTGTGGGGTCTCCTTGCCCTAGGACACAGGGTGGAAGAGCCAGTGGGAAGGCCCTTGCGCTCATCTTGGCTAGGTTGTTGTGATCTTGTGGTTGGTTACCCTGGGCCAACCCTACTTGGGTGGGAATGTGACCCCTTCAGACCTCTGTCCCCTCCTCTTGGGCAGAGGGTGTGAGAGAGCAGTGTGGGCTTGGCAAGTCCCTGGTTCTGCCCCTCCCCCCCACCCCCCCCACCCCATGCCTGTCCTCCTGTGACCTGGCTGAGGGACACTGCCTCCACCTTGGGGCTGCTGCTGCAAGAAGGGGCTTGGACTTTGTTCCGGTCCCAGGGCCACTGAGGAAGCCATACCCCAGCCCCTGTCCTGATGGCACAGTTTAGGTTGGGCTTGGAAACCCGGGGACCTCCTGGATGCTGGGAGTGGGAGGACGAGCTGCCTGGGGCGGTGCCCATCATGTGGACCTGCTGAGGCTCTGGGGCCCAGTTGTTGTTGTGAAGGCATTTTCTAAGTGTGCTCACATTAGAGTTGGTGGTTGTTGTGGGGGTTAGGTGCTGTCCAGTCAGCTCTGACTCATGGAGACCGCATATGCAAGATAATAAACACTGGCCAGCCCTTCTCCATCCTCACCATCAGCTGGCCTTAAATAAAGATCATATGGTGGACCTTGTCCAATCAGTTCAGGGCCTTACAACCAGAAAAGGAGATTTCCTGGGGAGGATTCTGCCTCAAACCTGTGATGCAAATGTCCTGTGGGAGCTCCCAGGCCACTGCCTGGCCTGTAGGTTTCAGACTTTCCAGCCCCCTCAATTGCATGAGCCAGTTCCTTAAAATCAATCTCTGTATGTATACACATATGTATGTATAGGGAGCTCTGGTGGCATAGTGCCTAAGGCATTGGACTGTGAACCAGAAGGCTGGCAGTTCAAACCCACCAGCCACTCCTTGGAAGGAAGGTTGGGCAATCTACTTCTGTAGTGATACCACCTCGGAAATCCAAGGAGGGGTCACTGTGAGTCAGGTCTGACTCAGCGGCAGTGAGTTTAGATGTATGTATATGTATATATAAGAGCTCTGGTAGCATAGTAGCCTAAGACATTTGACTGCTAACCAGAAGGCTCCTTGGAAGGAAGGTTGTGCAATCTACTTCTGTGATACTGCTTCAGAAATCCAAGGAGGGGTCGCTATGAGTCAGATACAACTCAATGGCAGTGGGTTTGGTTTGGTTGTGGATATATGTATATCTACCTACCTACCTACCTACCTATCTGTCTATCATCTCTTGGAGTCCTTGGTGCTCAGCTGCTAACCAAAAGGTTGGTGGTTTGAATCTACCCAAAGGCATCTCAGAAGAAAGACCTGGCATCTACTTGTGAAAATCAGCCATTGTAAACCCTATGGAGCAATTCTACTTTGACACATAAAGGGTGGCCATAAATTGGGGTTGACTCCATGACAGTGGGTCTATTTGATGCCCACTGGTTTTATTTGTCTGGAGCATACTGCCTAAGTGTCTGGGACCATCTTGGGACAAGATGCCAGCCTTGCCCTCTTATCCCTGAGACCCAGGCTTAAGGCCCAAGCAGGTCCCCTAAGTGAGTTGCTCCCTTGCCTGCCCAAACCTCACCCCACATCCTTGGCCCCTGATGCATAGTGATCCCACACACAACAGGATCAGATTGTTATGATCCTTGGGGTTTTCACTGGCTGATTTCATTGGCTACTACATTGCCAGGTCTTTCTTCCTAGTCATCTCAGTGTGGAAGTTCTGCTGAAGCCTGTTCAGCATCAGAGCACACACAAGGTTCTACTGATGAAGAAGTGCGCATGAGACACACTGGCCCAAATTGGACCTGGTCCCTGTGTGGAAGGCAAGTTCTCCTGCTGCCCCTGGTCCTTTCTTAGTGACCTCTGTTTCCATGAGAAACGTCTTTTGAGGTGGTCATTCCTGGTGGTGGACAGGTGGGTCTCTGCAGGAACAGGGCTAACACAGAAAGCCAGCACGGTATCTCATCCCAGAACAGTGGGTGTTCACCTACCCTAGCACCACTCTTCTGGTGCATAGCCTGAGTCCAGGGAGGTCCTGGGTATTGCAATGCTGAGTGAGGGAGGCCTGTGGCCCTTAGGGAGAACCCTGCCTCACTGGCTCTGCTCTGATGCAGGTCTCAGAAGAAATGGGTGGCCTGGGTCTGAGATATCTGCCTCCTTCTCCTACAGCCCAAACCCCCTGGTGGCCAGAGGCCAGCCTGTAAGTCCATTTCCAGAGATGGCAACACACATGGTTTTCCCTTCCTATCACTCCTTCCTTGAGGGCCAGTTCCAACAATAGTCCACTGGAGCCAGTACAGACTGGTTTATTGCAGGGTGGGGCAGGGGCAGGGGTGGGACAGTGTCCAGAGGGGTCAAGTGGCAGAAGTCTAGGCCTGCTGGCTCTGGGTCTGCCTGAAGCTTGGGGGCTGCTTCCTCGAGGACCTGAGGACCAGATTCCCATAAGCCTGTTCACCTTCCTCTGACCATGCCCCTCAGTGCCCACCTTCCCCCCCCCCCCACACACAGCTGTCTGGTGGTCCATCATCAAGAGCCCAGGTGACCAGGCCAAGTGTTCAGACCCTAGATCCTCATGGTGCCTCCTGTTGAAGCCTACCTCTAAGGTCATTGTCCCTCAGGACATCCAGCCACTAAGCTCCCCACCAGCAGACCCCCTCCTCCCCAGTTCCACCACCCCTTGTGATTCCTGGGAGACATGATGGATTTGGGTCTCCAGCATTCCTGAGCCACCTGAGCGATGGTGCTCACAGGCCCCACACTGAGCTGCAGAGGACAGGCAGGGAGCGGGGCTTGAGGGGGCAGGGAGAAAGCCCCAGGGGCTCTGAGACAAGGTGTGGGGTGGCTTGGTCAGTGGAACTGGCTGGGAGGTACCTGAGTCTGCAAAATGTGGGGCAAGAATGTGGCACAATGGTCAGGACTGGCTGGAAGTAGACAGGAAGGGGAGTGAGGCCTCACAGCCCAAGAGGAAGAAGGAGGCCCTGCCTGAGATAAGTGAGGGTGGCTCTGGAAGAGTGACTGCCCACTGCTCACAGGTACTGTGCCACATGGGGGTGGTGGTGGTAGGGGAGGGGTCTTCTCTGTTGCAGGTTCCTCACCAACCAGACATGCTGACTCAGGCTGGGCTTTGGGGTCTGACGCTTTCACCACCTCAGGTGACTAAGGTGCAGAAGACCTGGGGCCACACTTTGTGGACCTCCCCCCCGCCACTCCTCACCCCTGGAAATGGCCTCCCACCAGAGGTGTGAACAGAGGTGGTCAGGTGTCCACTCACCTAGGGCTATGCAGAGATGCACCTTGCTGCAAATAAATGAGAAATCCAGGTCACAAGGGGCTTTGCCGGTCCAATGCCCCCCTTCTCATTCTGCCCCATGGGGAACCCCTGAGCCATGGGCCCTGCTGGCCTCAGCTTTCCCTCATCAGTCCTAGCCCCTCTCTACATGCTGTCTGCCCGGAGCTCCCCAAGGAAGGTTGCTGAGCTGACACTACCCACTCCAGGTCATGCATCTGGACAAGAGGGAAGAACTAGGGGATGTGCTTACAGTGCTCCAGCTTTGAGAGGTCGAAGATGTTTTCCTCTGGGATGCCTCTGCGAGCTGAGTGTTGGCTGTACGCCTTCTGTCCAGCATCCCCCACAGAGAGGCCCCTGCCTGTAGCATCAGGGAACAGGGGTGTTCTCAGGAACCTGAGACCATGTCCCTCTCTGATGGACAGCAGAAGGAAGGAAGTGAGGGTGTCAGAGACCCTTAGGTGGTCCCCATGGAGTGAGGCCAAGCCCACTGTCATACACCCATCTCGAAAACCAGGCTTTGGGCCCAGCCTGTCAGGGGCCTCCTGATAGGGCTTCCAAAGGGCCAAGAAGTTGCTGGTGGGTCCTCTGATCTCTGGGCCTAAAAGAACAAACCTAGAGTGGCCAAGACAGGGGCTTCCACCAGACCCCTGGAAGTTTCCAGGAGCTGGAACCTGGGAAGCCATGCACACTGTGCACCCGGCACCAAGACTGTAATTTGGGGTTCTCTCTGGTGGCTCTGGGCTTAGGCCTGTGAGCTGCACCTACCATAGAGCTCTACCACCACAAGTTGGCCTCTGTCACTCTGGTTTTCAGTGTCGACCACAGCAAAGTCAGATGTGACGGCCACAAAAGTCAGGTAGTTCTTGCCCTCATCTGTGAAGGAAAGCAGGGGCGGCCCCAGAGCCTGTCAGGGTCTGCATCTGCCATGGACCCTCCCAGGCTGGCCAGAACTTCCTTGACACAGCCTCAGCTGGGGGAGCCCCAGCCTAGACCAGTTCTATAAGGAGCCCAGGGTTCCTTTCTCTCTCTTTAGCTTAATCTCTGTCTCTCTTTCTCCTTCTCTTCCCCTCCTGTACACCTTTCTCTGTGTTACTCACTCCCTCTCCCCCCGCCCTCTCCTATACATGAATTATCTTAACTGGACCTCAGTCCTCAAGGGCCAGGCCACATCTTCCACTCATCATTCATTCATTCCATCATTCATTCTTTCAACAAGAGTTTATTTTGATTGTGCCATGCTGAGTGAGGGTCATACCCTCAGTGGCCAGCACTCAGGACACCTGGGAAGGGGAGGGAGCAGGGATGGGGAAGTGTAGGGGAGGGGTCAGGAGGGTAAATGTGGCACAGTCTGCATGCTGAGCTGTGGGGCCTGCCCAGGCCCTGCTTAAACACAAGTTCAGGAACGCCTTGTGGTGTAAGCTTTTAGGAGTGGCAGCTCCCCACTGCTCCAGGGCGCTGTTGGGACCCCTCAACTTTGGATTGCGGCTTACAGGATGGCTTTTAAAACTCTGAAGCCTCTTTTGCTTTCCATGAAAAGTCTTACAAGGTGCCCAGACCCTGGGCTGAGCGTCTGCCCCTCCAGCCCCCTGACAGATCAGCGTCTACTCCCGGCCACAGGGAGAGATCAGGAGAAAAGGGCCTCCCCACAGTCCAATGGGGAACTCCAGGAGTCTGGGAGCACACTTCAGGGCCTCCTGCTCTTGGGTTTTGCATTTTATAGAGTGGTGCTGCCTGGTCCCTGCTGCACACCCTACTTCTCCCCTAGGCATGCTCTGGAGACCCCTCCCTCTCCTCACTAATGCCTGCCTGTCCTTGCCGCCTCTTCCTGAACCCCCACCCCAACAACAGCCCCTGCTAACCCCTGTCGGAGCCTACTTCCTCCCACTCCTACTCACACTCAAATTCATAGCGACCAGGGATGGCAGTCTTATCTGCAATGTAGAATTCCTTTATGCACTGTCCATTTTTTCTAGAAAGAAAGCCACCTTCTCAGTGAGAGATGCCTGCTGCAGAGGGGCTCTGTTGGGGCTCCTGGGACCTGGCAGGTGGAGCTTGTGGGGGGTCAGCTTTTACCTGTGGAAGTTGCCAACATGAAGGGGGCGAGGTGTGTGTGTGTGTTGGACTGGGTGCCTGAGACTGAGGGAGCAGGGAGGGGTGTGGCTGGGCTGTGTGTGGGGTGGCTGTGACAGGTGCTGCCTTACCTGTGGAAGTAGGTGACGTTCAGGTTGCCATTTTTCAGGAGCTCAATCGCGGACATGAAACACCTGTAGGAGCCTCCCTCTTCGATCACAGCCCGGTTGGTGGCACCAAGCTTGATAGAGTTCCATTTCCCTTCAATCTGGAAGTGACCTGGATGCATTTTCCTGGCTGCAGCCCCAGGGGCTGCCCTCCAGGTTGGGTCTGAGTGTCGGATGGAGGCTGTGGGACCATGGCATGAGTTCCACCTTCTGCCAGCATCTGGCCTCCAGTCCATCTGTTAGGAGCTAATCCCAGCAGGGAACCAGGACAACCTGATCTCATGTCCACAGTTCTCAGCCTCTCCAGACCATCAGCCTTCTGGGGGCCCTCAGGGGGACAGTGCCAGCTCCAGGGCTCTCAGTTTGGAAGGAGTGCCAACCTCAGTGTCCTCCTGTGCAAAATGGGGCTACCCTCCCCCACCCAGGGGGCTGAGAAACTGGGTAAGGGCAGGTGGCCTCAGGCTACGAGAGGCTGGGGGGGGGTTTGATGCAGGAGCTCCTCCCTCCCAGCAGTCACACTACCTGCTCTGCGTGGAAGTCAGGCTGCACAGGTACTGGTTGTGGCCCTGCAGCCACGCAGGCCAGCAACCCCAGGCCCAGGAGCAGCAGCTTCATTGTGCTTCCTGGTTTCAGGGACACTGGCATGATGGATGCATCTGTCATCCTATATAGAGGTTCAGTGCTGGGGCTACTCCAGGTAAACAGGCCCCCTGTGTCCTCTCCCTGCCCCGCCCCTAACACACCATCAGAAACAAAATGTTTTCAGAGCTGGAGTGTCTCTAGCCTTTGGCGATAACCAACCTTTGGAAAGGTCAGGGAGCCATGGGCTGCAGATGAGAAGTCTTTGTGAAAGACCTGGGAGGGCTAGACAGTCACATGCTGGGTTCCAGCTGGGATTCCTAGGACCTAGGAGCCCTGAGATGTCTCAGGGCTGGGTCAGGGGCTGTGCACACATTTCAAGGAGTGGCCTTGGTTGTCCTGGATTCCTGAAGCTATGACCCCACGAGCCTAAGCAGGCTGGGAAGGCAGCCTCCACTTTCTCCAGGGTTTGGCTCTTGACTCCACCAAGCCAGCTTTTGGTTGCTCTGGGTTCCACCCTACTGGGTGCCAGCCCCCAGGTCAGGCCGAGGCTAGCTGTGCCTGGGCTGAGGGCCAGGCGGTCGGTCTGCCTGGCAGGCTCTGCCACAAATCTGGATACCCTGCAGGAACACTCTGATGCTCCCCCCATCCCGACTGCTCCCTGCACAGGGATCCCTACTTCCATCTCCTCCGATCCTGGGTCTCTGTGACCCAGACTTTGGGACTCTTCGGATGTTGTGGCATCCAGAGCTGGCACATGGCACACCTTGGTGCTTTGCACTCCTGCCCTGCCCTGTCTGGCCCCTGGAACCATGAAAGCCCGTTTGTCTATTGCTGTCCGCTCCTAGTTGAGGGCATGACAGAAAGCCAGCTGCTAAAGCCAGCGAGACCAAAGGGATTATGGCTCCGCAGGTTCCAGAAGCCACTGGGCACTGAGGGAGCATATGGCTCTGTGGGCTGCTGAAGGGGACAGCATCCTGCCACTGCAGGTGCCAGATGCTGGCCCATCCCCTTCTCAGATGGGCAGAATGGATGGGGAGGACAGGGGAGTTGGAGACACCCGTGTCAAACCCCAGGCTGTGTCCTTGTGACATGACCTGGAGACTTAGCCATGTCCTTTCTGCTCCATCTTGCAGCTTCCTTGTCCTTCAGAAGGTGGGGTTAAGGGAGCCTCAGTAGCAGAAACTCAGAGAATGAGATGTGTGTGGGTGTGTATGCATGTTTGTGCATGTTTCTGTGTTGGTGTGTGCACATGCATGCACTCCATTGCATATATGCATGCATGTGCTCACACATATACATATGTGTATATATGCATGCATGTGTTCAGTGTGTATATGTTTGTGTTGGTGTGAGTGTATGTGCAGGGGCATGAACTGGATTGCATTTGTGCATATGTGTGTATGCATGTATGTACATGAATGTTGCACATGCATGTATATGCATTTTTCTGTGTTTGTGTGTGTGTAGATACACACACTGATTTGCATTTGTGCACTGAATGAGTGTGCTTGTGTACATCTATGTGCACATAGGTGCCTGCACAATTGTATGTTCCTTGCCCATAGCTTTCTCCACTCTTCCAAGGGGTCCATGGCCCTCTCAGGGTTCTTCCCCAGGACCTCAATACCTTGATGCTCCCCCCATCCGGACTGCTTCCTGCACAGGGATCCCTACTCCCATCCCCTTGGTTCCTGGGTCTCTGCGAGCGAGGGTCAGAGTAGAGAATTCAACAGGGCATTTGGGACTCTTGGGATGTTGTTTAAGTAGAAATGCCAACTGCATTGGGAAACCGAAGACTTGTTGCCTAGAGCTGTCTGGTCACATCCAGCAAGAGTGAGCACAAAGGCTGGGAGGAGGGCTGCAGGGGTGCAGACATGGAGGGCTGGAGCAAGGCTGGAGTGCTGCATGTGGAGTTGTCCAGGAGGCAGATCTGGTCATTGTGCTCTGGGCTGGGAGCAGGAGGTTGATGTCATTCTCTGTTGTGTGAGCTATGAAGGGACTTATTGGACTGGCACTTTGTTGTGATCCTTGGCTGCCTGGTAAAGGTCAGGAGGATTGGACGAGAGGCAGGGGAGGGCCTAGGGGTGCCTCTGGTGTCTGTGTCTGGCTGTGGGGCAGTGTCTATGGCCTGGCAGGCTGGTTTTCACAGCTGCAGTTGCAGGGAGTCAGAAGTCCAGTGGTTGTTCCTGCCACGTACTATCCTAGCAACTCTATACCTTCCTGGCCAGTGCTCACAGGGATGGAGGTGGGCACTGGTGGCCCAAGCAGCTGCCCTCTGCACGGCTCCAGGTCCCTGGGACTCCCACTCTCACCAAGAGCTGCTGGGAGGGGAGACGAAGCCCTCTAGGGGCCCACGGGCAAGTAGACCCAGGCAGCAGTGGGCAGAGAGGGATAGGCATCCATGGGTCACTCCTGCAGGAGTTTCCATCGGAAACTAAGTGTGTAGCTATTAAACTGCCATCATTTGGGTAGTAGATACTGGGTATGGTTCAGGAACTTGCCCTTGTGTGGAAATTAGCACCCAGACCTCAAACCTTTCATGGAAAAAAGTGGAGAAACATGCACAAACCGGAGAAGAACTCCTGAAACGATGAACACACTTCCAGCAAATGTTGTCTTCCAAGAGGTACAGAAGGGGGTTCAGGCCTGTAAGTGGCTTAGATCCAGACTAAGGGGCCAGTGAACACTGTGCTGACTAGCTCCCTGCCTTTCTCTTTTCCTCCTTCCTGGTTCCCCCCTCTTTTCTTCCCTCCTTCTTCCTTCCTTCCCTCTCTTTCTTTCCGTTCTTCCTTCTTTTCCTCCTCCCCCCTCCATCCCTCCTTCCTTCCAATCCTCCCTCCCTCCCTTCTGCCTCCTCCCTCTTTTCCTCCCTCTCATTCCTTCCTTCGTTTTCTTTCCTCCCTCCCTCCTTCCCTTCCTCCTTTCCTTCCTCCCTCTCTCTCTCTGATCATACAAGTCAGTGAAACTGGAAGTAAAGACATGTTTGTGTCCCTTAAGTACTCTGGCCTGTGTGATATAATATCTGAAATAAAGATCCAGTATCATGTACTTCCCTGACATCTGGCACCAAGAGGGCCTTAGGTGGCCTAACTGCCCATTCTGTTCCACAGATAAGATACCCACCTTATCACAGGGACCAGGCACAAAGCCTGCTTAACCCTGAGCAGTGGGCTTCAGTCAGCCCATGGAAACAATCAAACAAGCCTATCACATCCTTCTCTTGAGACTAGGGGACACTCTACCCTGTTGTTACTGAAAGCCTGCCTCTCAAGCCTCTGAGCTCACTCTGCTCCTGAGAGCAAACCCTGTGTTGCTGCTTGGTATGTGGTGTCCTCATTTTCCCAAGCTCTGAGCATATGTAACTAACAAATGCTGTCTGCTCATTGATCCAGGGCTGGGTGTTGGAGTTCAGCCATCCCCAAGACTCTAGAGCAGGAGCCCCTCCCTCATCACGAGGCCAGGAGGAGGTGACTGGAACAGCCTGCTCAGGATCAATCCTGAATGTCTCTTTCTGATGGCCACCAGTCTCTCTCACCCTGGGAATACCATGGTCTATTAGCCACACTAACTTGTTAGGCGAGGTGGCCGGTTATTACTCCCACCCTATGTCTGAAGGTGAAGTGCTGCCTGGCCCTGGCATTCTGGATTCCATGACACCACAGATCAGCTCCACCAGCATCTCTGACCCACAGAGGACAGTCTCCAGGGCCCCTCTCCCACATCTTAACCCAGAGCTCAGTCACCTGAGCCTCTCTCATCCCAACCCACAAAGGAGGGTCTCCAGGCCCACCCTCACCCAGTCCTGACCCACAGAGCACAGTCACCTGAGCCCCTCCCATCTCAATCCACAGAGGAAAGTCTCTAGGCTCCCCCTATCCTGACCCACAGAGGACAGTCTCCATGGCCTTTTCAGAAAGATTTTAACTTCTATTCTCTTACAGGCTCAGAGAACTTTTGTCTTTAGCTTTCACTATCAGTCAAAAGGAGCTCTGGTGGTGTAGTGGTTAAGGCATTTGGCTGCTAACCAAAAGGTCAGTAGTTTGAACACACCAGCCACTCTGCAGAAGAAAGATGAGGAAGTTTGCTTCCGCAAAGATTTACAGCCTTAGAAACTCAATGGGGGTTGCTATGAGTCAGAATCAACTCAATGGCAGTGAGTTTGGTTTGGTTTTGTTGATCAGTCTAAAGGGGCCCTGGTGGCACAGTGGTTAAGAGCTTGGCTGCTAACCAAAAGGTTGGTGGTTTGAACCCACCAGCCACTTCACAAGAGAAAAGACCTGGCAATCTGTTTCCATAAAGATCACAGCCTTAGAAACCCTGTGGGGCAGTTCTAGTCTGTATTGTAGGGTTGCTATGAGTCAGAATCGACTTGATGGCATTGGGTTTCATTTGCTTTTTTGGTTTTAGGTCAGCTCTTATCTCCCCACTCCTTTCCATGTCTATGTGATTCAACTCTAATAATTCATTCACCACAGCCTATTTTCTGTCTTGGGTGACATCACATCCTGGTTGAGTTTCTTTTAATTTACACAAAGTAAAGTTCACTCTCTGTGCTGCACAGTCTTTGGTGTGACAAGTTCAGATGGTCTTACGTGTACCACCAGAGCTCATTATAGAACAGTTTCTTCAGCACTAATTTCCTCAGGCTGCCTGTTTTCCATTCTCTAGTTCTGTCTTTTCCAGAATATCATATAAAGAGAGCTAGAAAACATGCACTTATTGGGGTTGGCTTCTTTCACTTAGCGAGATCTATGGGAGAGTCATCTATGCATTGCAGCGGCATTGGTTCATCTCTCTAGTTGCTGGGCGATGTGCCATGGGGTTATGTGTCCATAGGTTATGTAAATGGATAATGGTGGACCACATTTGGTTTGTTCATTCACCAGGGGAAGGATATCTGGCTTGTTTCCCATTGTGAGCAGTTATAAATAAAGCTACCATAAATATCTACACAGGTTTTTGTGTGAACATCATGTTCATTTCTCTTGGTAAATACTTAGGAGTTATATTGCTGGGCCATATGGTAGATGTATGGTTAGCTTTATTAGAACCTGCCAAGTGAGCTCCCACAGTGTTGTAGCATCTTGCATTCCCACCAACAGGGGAGGAACATGTTTAACAGTAGCGAGTCTCATCAGTGGGAGCTCAGGTGGCTTAGTGCCTAAGGTATTTGACTGCTAACTAGAAGGCTGGTGGTTCAAACCCACCACCCACTCCTTGGAAGGAAGACTGGGCAATCTACTTCCATAGATATATCACCTCGGAAACCCAAACAGGGGGCACTGAGTTGAAAATGATTCGATAGTAGTGAGTTTTTTTTTTTTTTTTTTCATTTTTATTCTCATTGATGGGGACTACATCATTTTTTTGGGGGTGCTATTGCAAAAGTTTTTTATTTTTAATTTCAAATTCCAGTTTTCTGTTGCTATTTGTATTAATTTCCTACTGCTTCTGCATCAAGTTACCACAACATGAGTGGGTTAAAACAACACAAATGTATTGTTTGCAGTTCTTGTTGTCAGAAATTCCAAAGGGGTTAAAGTCAGGATGTGGGCAGTGATGGTTCCTTCTGCAGGCTCTAGAGGACAATCATTCTGGTTTCTTCCAGCACTCTTTGGCTATTGGCCACGTCATTCCACTCTCTGCTTCCATTGTCACAAACACTTCTCTTGCCATTGACCTTCTTACTCTTCTTATAAGAGTCCTCTTATAAGGACTCTTGTGATTACATTTAGGACCACCATTTTCCAAGACCATTTTCCATCTCATGATCCTTAACTTACTTACATCTGTGAAGTCCCTTTTGCCATGTCAGGTGGTATTTCCAGGTTCCAGGGATTAGGACTTGGACATTGCTTGGGGGGAGGGGCATGCCTTATTCAGCCTTCCGCAGTAATATAAAGAAACACAATGGTTGTTCCTATGCTGAACTTATAACTTACAACCTTACTGACTTATCACTAGTTTGTTTATTTTATAGATTCTTTGGGAATTTCTATGTAAACTGTCACATCATCTGTGAACACAGAAAATTTTATTTCTTCCTTCCCAATGTATGCCTTTTCTTCTTTTTCATTGTCTTATCACCCTGGCTAGGACTTTCTGATGTCAAACAGGAGCAATGACACAGGACACCCTTGCCTTCTTCACCGTCTTAGGGGAAGGAGCCAGTCTCTTGCCCTGAAGTCTGATGGTAGCTGTAGGGTTTTTTTTTTTTTTTTTTTTTTGTCAGCTAAGGAAGCCTCCTTTGGTTTCTTAGTAGAATTGTACTTTCAGGCCCCCTTGTGGTTGAGTGAGGTTATATGACACCTTCTGGCCAACAGGTTATGTGTGCCTTCAAATGTAAATGGCTGACATGCTCGGTTACTAACAGAAAGTTTGGTGGTTCAAGTCAACCTTGGAAGAAAGGCTTGGTGATCTACTTCTGAAATACCAGCCTTTGAAAACCCCATGGGGTACATTTCCCTTTGACACATACAAGGGTGCCATGAGTCAGAGTTGACTCGATGACAACTGGTTTACACAGTGTGCCAACCCCCAAATGTCATGGGCCTATTCCACAAAAGCCATATATCCAGGCCTTGCTCCACATGGTGCTCAGGCATGCTTGGTCTGGAGCTCAGACCCCACCCCTACTCCTGCCCCCCCCCCCAAATCAGGACAGACTTAGAGGAGGGTGTGCATGGTCATTTATTGCAGCAGAGAAACCACTCAGAATGGGGGTCCACTGCCAAGACTCAGAGGGGTTGGGTCACAGGGCAAGTGGCTGTCCTTGGTCTTTTGCACTCTGATGACTCCTAGATGGGACGGGGGTTCTTCTGGTGATGCATCTCCCTTGTACAGAGGAGCTGGGCTCCTGGGACACTTGCAGACCTGGGGGACACAGCAGCAGCCCTGTGACTCTGGGAACCTGTGGATGCACACCAGCCCCTGGCCAGCAAGGGTGAGGGGCCCCCTTGTGTGAGGTGGAGCCCCAGCCCCACCACAGGCTCAACTTGGAGGAGCCTATCACTCCCAAGACAGCTTCCTTCCTCCTTCCCCAGCCTCCCAGAAAAATGAGTAGGGACTTGATGGAGCCCAGGACCTACAAAACAACTGATCGAGAAAGGCTGACCAGAGAGACACCAGCATTTGGGTTTCTGGGACTGCTGGGGGAGCTCCAGGACCTCACAGGGTGTGCTAGGGCCTCAGACGAGGTGGAGGTCTTTCCCCAGGCACTGCCTATTTGGAAGGGTGGGTGGGTACCTTACCCCATGAGGCGGACCAGCAACGCTCATCTACACACGACACCGCTCTGTGGGAGAAAGTGGAGATGGGATATGGTGGGGGGAGGAGAGGACTTGGGGCACACGAAAGGTGAAAAACAGAGAGAGGAAGGTGAGACCCCTTCACCCCCAGCTCCCCGGGGCCTGATGGAGGAGAGAAATTACCAAATCCAGGACAAATACCCTTCTTCAATTACAATTCACCAGCAGGGAACCTTGGTTCTTGGTTAGATTTCTTATGAACCAAAGTGAAGCCAGGACTTTGGATACAGGATCAGCACTGACCTTCCCTCTGGGTGAGGTCGAGGAACACCTGGATGTGCTGAGGTAGAGTCTTGAGGAGCTCTTTGAATTTCTCCATGACCTCGGTATCAGCCTTCATGGTTCTGGCTGTGGGGGGAGCTGGGTCAATCCCTGGTGTGACTGTCCTTCTGAGGTCAAGTTTGGCTAAGGCAGTTCCCCAGGTGGTGCCACCTACTCTTCAGGCTGCCTCCTTATCCCCATTGCTGCCCAGGCCCCTCACCATCATTCAGCATGGTGCTGGGCCTGCCCACTCCAGCAACGTCTGCACAGTCATAGGAGGAAGCACACACCCTGCCTCTCCTTGAACATCCTGTCTCACCACATGGACAGGGTACTTGCTGATGGCCCTAGGAGTGTCCCTGCTGCTCGAGGTTCCATGGTTAACTGGGGTTACTGGGGACATCCAATAGTATGGCTATTGGAACAAGAGAGAAGTCATCTTATAGTTGTTTTCAGAAGAAAGGAATTGGAAAGACATTTTCACATCTGATATCCCATTGGGTGACATTATTTAAAATCTCTATGAACAAGGGTTGTTGAATTTATATTAACTAAGATTAACTAAGATTGTTAACTAAGATTGTCCATAGGTTATGTAAATGGTTAAGTGCTAAACTGCTAACTGAAATGTTGGTGGTTCATACCCATCCAGGGGCATCTCAGAAAAAATGCTTGGAGATCTGCTTCTGAAAGTTCACAGACTTGAAAACCCTATGGAGCAGTTCTACTCTGCACACATGGGGTTGCCATGAATTGGAATCAACTTGAAGGCAACAGGTTTGGACTTTTTTGATTATCCAACAAGTCACATGAACTTGCAGGTAACTTGCTTGGAACATCCTCCTCACAGCCCACCTTAGCTTCATCTCTGTTCCCTCCCATGGCTGAGCAGTCCCCAAGAGCCCTGTCCACTGCTATAACCACATCCATTGCTTGTAATACTTCCCTTCCTGCCTGAGGCAAAACTAGCACCCCAAGCTCCTGAGGTAACATTGGACAGACCCTCTCCCTCCCCCTTCTCCACAAGCTCCCAGGGCCAAGGGGTCTGGCACTGCCACCTGCCATCTATAGTGCAGACCAACCAGCCAGGCTGTTCTCCAAACCTGCTGTCACAGAGCCCGGGGCCTCAGACCCATACCCAGGTACTGGCACACCACATTCTGTTGGGAGGTGGTGGTGTTCTCCATGCAGATGAACAGATAGGTTTTATAGTCAGTGTCCATCATGAAGACCTTGTTCTCACTCAGGTCTGGAAAAGAAACCAAGTCAGGCATAGACATAAATTCTGAATTCTCCATTTGCACAGGAGACATGTACTGGTTGGGAGCCTCTTATCATGGTCAGCAGGGTGAAAGGTGGTGTTGTCGCCAGTCTGCTGCCTTCGACTCACTTACCATGCTCTAGACAGCTACCTTGCCCTGACTTCATGGGGCACTTCTTTTAAGGCTTTGACACCTGCTCATGGACATGGAGGACTTTTTCCTCCAATGGTCCCTCACACTTTACAGATAGATAACAAAGCACAAGTAAAATTAGGAAAATCCTCAGTAGTTATTGTGACTCTCTGCCAGATACATTCCTCTGCCTCCTAGATGAGGAATTAATTTGCACATCCATTCATCCATCCATCCATTCATCCTTAATCCATCCATCTACCCATCCACTCACCTACCTACTCATCCATCAACCCATCTATCCATCCATCCATTCACTTATCCTTCCACCCATCCTCTCATTTTTCATCCATCCATCCATCTACCCACCTACCTATCCATTCATCTGTCCAGCCTTCCATCCACTCACCCATCCATCCACTATTTCAGATAAGCCGCCTTGTATACTGTGATTTGAAATGGTGAAGAAGTGGAGTTTCCATGCTGATCTTGGGGAAATGCATGGACACTAGGTCATAGAAGGGAAAGAACAGAGAATTATTGTGTGAGATGCAGTCAAATTCAATGGGGGAGAGATGATGTCCACTGGGGAGGCAGGTGCAGCTTCCTGGAGTTGGAGCTGAGCAGGAAGCATGCTCTGACTTGGGGCAGCTGGCTGCACATTAGCATCACCTAGGTAGCTTTCAAAGGAAATGCCACTGTCTGGCTGGGAATGTGCTTGGGAATGGTTAGACTGGAGCTCACACCAGCACAGCTTGGACACCCCCTAACCCCCCAATGTCCCACCCATGGCCTGGTGCACTCACAGCTGATCTTGAACTCTGCAGGGTTCTCAGTTTTCTGGGCAAGGATCTTCCTCTTCACACACCTGTCGTTCTCCCTGAAAGCCAACCAATCTGTGAACCCTTTGCTCAAATGCCATTAAAAAGTTGTGGTGGAGTAGACATAACTGTACACATACACATCAGTGACATTAATTACATTCATATGTTGTGGATCTATCCATTTCAAACACTTTCATCACCCTGAGCAGAACATAGTACTCTTTTAGTAGTAACTCTCTTGGCCCCAAACCTAAAAACCTCTAGTCCACTTCCTGTCTCTACACATTTGTCCTAGATGGCTCATGTAAGGGGCAGTGGAGTCATACAGCATTTGTCCTTTTGTTCTCAAACTCTATTTTGATAAAGCAAAGGCTGAGTGGAGCAGGAGGTGGAGTGTGCCCAACCCTGTATCTGGACACCACCAGGGTTGCACTGTACTCATTTGAGCCTTTACTACCATTTAGTTACCTGGCTGGATATGTCCACTGAAAGGCAGGTGGAGCCAGGGAGAATAAGCCTAGAGTTGGCATGGGTGACTCCCCTGTGTGGGTGCTATGGCAATTCTACAACAGTGATCCTGAGGGTCATGTTCTTCTCATCATGGCCTCCCCACCACCACACAACACTCTACCCCCTACCACAACTTCAGGACAGCTAGAGTCATCTCTGCTCTGCCCACAGCCCAGGACCCCACAGCCCAGCCTTCTCCCTGACCTGCTCCCAGACTGTCCCCCTGGGGCTCCAGGCTGTCAGCCTGTTGGGCTGAGAGGACCAGGGACCCCCTGAAGCCCTGTCTCTGACCTCTGGGTGCCTGGCACTGGCTAACAAGGACACTCCTGTTACATGCACACCTGGAGGTGGGTTCCACCAGGAACTGTCCTGAGGTCCCTTCCCTGGAACCCCACCTAGGAAGGCTGAGCAACTCTGTACCCCTGGCCCCTTGGCTGCAACCCAGGGGCACACCTACATCTTGAGCAGGACCATCTCCAGGTTGTCCTTGGGGGTGGGTTGAATCTCCTTGATGTGTATTCTCATAGGGGCATTTTCTGTCTCCAGGAGGGTCGGGTCGCTGGCTGCCATCACCATGGAGTGCCAGGGCCCTGCCAACTGAGGGGAGAGCCATGAAGGGCACACAGCAGGGTGAGAGGTATCTCTCTAACCCCACAGTGGGTTCTCCCTGACCCCGTCCAGGGAAGTAGAGCCCTGCCTCCTCCCAGCTCTCTTGACCAGCAGAGAAAGAGCAGGGCAAGGATCCAGTACCACCCTTCACTGTTGACCTGAGGAATATTCTAGCAAACTCTCCTTCTGTGCCCAAAGGAAGACCTAGCTGAATCCCTCACTAGGAGAGAGTGGAGAGCATTTAGATTTTAGGGAGCCAAAGGGCTGGAGCTAGGAAAGCTTTCCTAAAGGTAAGAGCAGCGGTTCCCAAATCTCAGTATCCTCTGGATCCTCTTGGCATTCTGAGGGCCCAGCCCCCTGTCTGCCCTGAAACAGCCCCCACCAGGCCCACCCTTATGGTACAGCTGTCCTCTGACCTTCTGCACTTCCAAATCCTTCATGGTTTGAGAGACACTGATGGTGTGAACACCACAGATGAGGGTCAGGCCCAGGGCAAGCAGGAGACACTTCATGGCTGTGGTGGTGCACTTCCGAGCTCCGAAAGTGAGAAGGCCGAGGTATTGCTGCCTGCACCTTATATAGGAGGGCAGTGAGGTCCCCAGTCCAGGACTGACTGCCTGCCATGGGGTTCCAACAATTCCCTGATTCATCCACAGGCCCTTGGGGGCTTCCTCGATTAGGGCAGGACCAGGCTTCTTTCCTCCTTGTCCCAACAGGAAGCTCACTGTGTTCCTGGGCCTTGTTAGTTCCTGGTAGAGCCACGGATAGGAAGAGTCAGCTTCAGGCTGACTGCCAGGGTTGGGGCACTTCCTGGACAAGGAGTGTCAGGACACGGTCCTGTACCGGCACAGCTGTGTCCATGGCCAGATAAAGGCATGTGAAGGCTCTAAACCCTGATAGTCTGTAGTACCCCCTCACTTTGCTCACATTTGAATGGGATATGTGAGTTATATATACACATCTGTATATATGTGTATGTGTGTGTGTGTCTTAGCTATCCATGATGTAACTTCTTTTTGAACGTTACAGTTTTGGTTACCTCTGTGCTGCTCTGACAGAAATATACCACAAATGGGATGGCTTGAACAAACAGGAATTTGTTCTCTTACAGTTTGGAAGGCTAGAAGTCTGAGTTCAAAGCTGTATGAAAGCCCCTCGACCTTGGGCTTCCATTCTGCCTCTTGCTCCCGGCCCACTCCCAGTGCTAGAGGCATTTCTTCATTCAGGCAGCTACTGGCTGCTGAGGCTAACAAGACCAAGGTCGACAAATAAAATGGCACAGTCCCAATGTTATCAAACCACACGCCAGGACATTAATTCAAATCCATTGAAAGTCCCAAGGTTGGCAGAGCATGGCAGGCTGCTAAACAATGACACGGCTACATGCAGGATTCAAGCATGCCATAAGCTACAGACAATTCCCAAAGCTTTTCCATTTTTCATTCAAAGTATTTCTTATATACAGGAAGCAGACCACATCCCTAAGGCAGCTACTCAGCTGCTCACAGTAGATTCTACCATGGAGTTGATTACCAGTCTTATCATGGGTAATTACTTTCAGCTGCCCAGCCACTCAACCAGGCCCAGCCAAGTTGACAAACAAACTTAACTATCACAGTTACTATAATACTAAAAACTGAATGCAAAAGTGGCACATGCCATTTTAGCAGAATGAGATTAACTGGATTATAAAATTTTTGGTGGATACAAGGTACTAATAGTGACCCTATGAAGGAAATGCTGCCTTTGCTATGCTTGAGCTTGTCATAACAGCCATTGTGTCAACCCAGTTCATTGCGGGTCTTCACCTTTGTCACTGACCTTCTACTTCACTGTATAACACATTTTACTGTATACCACATTTTCTACAAAAAGAATAACAAAGAAGATGAGTCAGTGAACTTAGTTGTTTCAAAAATCATTGCAAAATTCTGTTGAGCTCTTACAATGGAAAATTGACTTTCACCAATTTTGCTTTAAACAGCTCTTACTTCAAATTTATGCTTGTTTATGAACAAATGAAAATTTAATGATCAGAAAGCAAACATTACAACAAATTATTATATTATATTTTTAGAAAGATCTTTCATCTCTAACATGCTATAATTAAACAGATTTTTTTCTATTCTTTGCTCTTACAAATTCTTCAATGATTTTCTCACAATTACACTGCAAAACAATATTTACTTTCATTCATAATAAGGATAATGAATGCAGTCTTTCCTGAAATCATTGTTGTTTGCTAAGCTTTTGTCTCTTTAGGTTTAGGGTTAAGATTAGAGTTGGACCCAGTTGCACATTGTGTGAATGTGGCAAGAGTTAGACTGGAGAGCCTGCTATCACTTTTTGTTTGTTAGGAAGAAATGGTGTACTTCCAAGAGACCTGTCCGGATAAGGAGTTTCAATTATAGGGGAGGGGACCATAGGAGATAGACGTCAGCGAAGGTGTTGAAGTGGTAGAGGCCTCATGGTTTAAACAATCTTTCCTGATGGTGCCCTGGTGACCCTGCACTAACTTTACTTCCATCTGGCATATTCTCATGCACTGGAGCTAGTATCCATTTCATTTAGTGCCCTGCCAGTTCCCTTCTACATGCTTATGGGATAATCTATCCCTGACTATCCTGGCAAGGAGGGTCCTCTCTCCCAGAATGGGGGGCTTGCATGCCATCCCCTGACCCCACTGGTTGCTGGCTGCTGCCTACCCTTCCTGCTCAGCTTGTCCTCGGGAAAAGACCCCTTCCCTCCTGTCCTCCTGGGTTTCTGGTTTACCCTCCTGCCTCGGGTGCCAGCTTCCCCAAAACCCTCCACAGAGCACTGAGTGGAGGAGGGCTAGAGAAGAAGCTGGCAGGGCACCAAACTGGCAGCATGGAGCCAGCTCAGCCATTTGCTGTGAGGACAGCAACAGCATGCTAGAATGCCAGTGCAACCATGATCGTGGAGGTGCAGCCACAGCTTTGTCCTCTGGGTGGGCCCTCGGTGGGGATTTGGGGCATATGCACTGGAGTATATCCCAGGGGAGGGGTGTGACCAATGCCTATCTGTGTCAGTCCTGCCCAGCAGCCCCTTCATTGCAGGGAGCTGCAATAGACAATCTGGAAGACCCACCTGCCTCAGAGGAGGGTGTCCTGCATATATTCTGAGGGGGCAGAGCAGGTTGGAGACACAAACACCTGGGGTGAGTGAAGAAGACCCCCTGGTTTCACATTCTCAATGGTGTATGGGGCTCATGGCCTGGGCATGGTGGGTGTTGGGTTGGAGTGAGGAAGGGGCACCCCAGGGTGTCCTGGGAGGTGAGAAGCTGGCTCTCTTGAGATGAGGGGTGGGCATGTGGGCCCTGAACACTGGGCAAGGCAAGGCCTTTCCAGTTGGCCCAGGGCCTCCTCAGGTGGTCCTCCCACTGCTACCTTGGGGACCTGAAGTGGAGCTTAGAGGTCTCACAGACTGGCTCTGGTTTACTCCTGACCTCTGCTTTCTTTCTATGTCAGCCACTTGTTACCACACCAGATGAGAGTCCGCCCTATCCATCCACCCCAACAGATTAGGTGCTGATCCCAACTCCTCCTTCCAAGGCTGGGGGCCAACTGCAGAGTGAGGGGACCTGAGGAAACTTGAGTGTTCTCTCAGCAGTCAACTCAAGTGGGGTCCCCTGTAGGTAGCTGGTTGTGGAGCTGCCCCAGGACCTAGGGTCCACTGCTCACAGACAGGGGTCAGGTGACCACAGCTGCCCCACCTCAGGGAGACACTGTGCTCAGCGTGCTTGTGTGTGGCTCACAGCCTCTGTTTTGGGTAAAGTTTTGTTGGGAGGGGAAATACAGCTGGATAGTGGCTGGACAAGGAAATAAATGGTGGGCAGATCTTGGATGGCCAGCCTGAGCAGAATGGCTCTGCCAACAGCGTCATCCTCGCACTGTTTTGGCTCAGTCAGTGTGTGCAGGACCTACATTATCTACATTTCTCCTTTACCCCTCACCAGCCCTTGGGGCTTAGGGTTCCTCTTCTCCCACTAGCCTATAGTGAGAAAGGTGCCAGCAGTGACACAGGGGACAAGCCTTTAGGACAGACTGCGTCAGTGGCACTTCTACGAACCTAAACACAAGAGTGTCTGCCCTGCAGGCATTCTCAGAGATGTGTTCTTCCTGGTGTGTCCTGGGAAGGTAGTTACAGAGTACGCTTTCTAGGCACACCTGTCCACAATTCTCAGGAGTCATGTTCCACAGAATACCACTGACAAAACCCAAAACACTGCTGGTCTCACACACTCTGTGTCCTGCAGCTGTTCACTGTCCCCAAGAGTGGGTCCCAGGAGAGATCCCTAGCCTCAGGCCAGCCCTCGGTGCTGGGATCCCTTGTTTCTATGATAGAGCCTGGCAGGGTGCTCTGGCCTAAAGAGGCAGGAGCTCTGGTAGCATAGTGCCTAAGGCACTTGACTGCTAACCAGAAGGTTGGCAGCACCAGCCACTCCTCAGAAGGAAGGTTGGGCAATCTACTTCCGTAGTGATACCGCCTCAGAAACCCAAGGAGGGGTCACTATGAGTTGGGGCCAACTTGACAGCACATATCAACAACAACAACACAACTGTGAAGGTCAAGGCCTCTACATGGGTAAGAATGGAAACCATTCCCCTGCATTGGCCATGTAGGCCTTGCTTCCCCAGGGCCCCTCCACACAGCCTGCACTGCTGAACGGTGAGCAGCTCTACTTGTGGGTGTGAATTTGCCATGCTGGGCATGGCCTGGCACAGGTGTCTTCAAGCCTGTGTATTCGTGGTCCACCTTTTATCTGGGATGCACTCCTTACCCTAGGGGGTCTGGGCCCTGCACAGACCCCCTCCCCAGGGCTCCAAACTCACTGTCTGCACTCACCCTCATTCCTAATTGCATCACCACAACAAATATGGTATGGTCTCATGCTCCCAAATGTGACACCAAGCAGAATGCCTCCAAAGACCTCCAGCTCTAATTCTCCCCTGTGGTCCACAAGGCTGCCCACCAGGCCCTCGGCCCTGCAGGATGTCACATAAAAATTAGCGCCAGCTAGCCTCTTACCTGACTGGAATGTCCTTCCAACAAATGTCTCCATGGTTCATACCCCATGTCATTTGTCTGCTAGGCCTCATGAAATGTCACCATCCCTCACCTCACTTAATTGATCTCATTGTTTTTTTATAACAGATTGTATTTTAGAGTTGGTTCAGTTTACAGAAACATGGTGTAGACAGTACAGAATCCCCACACTCCCCTTTCCCTCCACCCAATTTTTCTTTTCAGCCTTGGTATCCAGTCCCTCTCATCTATCTGTCTATCATCTGTCTCTTCTTATCTATCTCTAAATTATCTATCTATAATCCATCCACCTCTGTATCTACTTATCACCTATGCATCTCATCTGTCTCCCTCTTATCTGTCTCTGTATTTTTACCTCTATAACTATCTATCATCTAGCTGTCTATCACCTATTTATCTACATTTTACCTATCTTCTATCATCTATCTCACTATCTTTCAATCATTTATCTATATCTATCATCTATCTTATCTATCTTATATCATCTGTGTCTGTCTGTCCATCTATCATATGTTTATCATATTTCAATCTTATCTATCTATTGATCATCTACCTCACTGTCTATCAATCATCCATCTATCTACCTGTCTATCATCCCCCCACTACAATGCATGCTACTTCATGTAACATTGGACCTGTATTGTTCTGCTGCTGTCTGTGGTACACTCATCACAGAACAATCTAGACACACACATGGTATATGAGGGCTCGTGAATGATGGGTGCTGGTTAGTTTGGGGTCAGTTCATCCATGAACGCATCCCAGAGAATAGAAATGTTCTTTTGTTACACAGCTCAATGTCCTTGTGTTTTTGGAAGGTTAGTTATGTATTTGAGCCAAGGAGACTGAGTGCCACCATCAGGCCTGTCAGACCTGGCTTGGGAATGGGGCCACACCCCCTCTGACATTTCTTAGCCTTCACTGTGAACAGCCATTGGGAAAAAGTAGGGATGTTCAAAGGGGCACTGTTGCCCTACTGGTTTCCTTAGAAGATGTCCTTATCAGCAGTCAGGAAAGCATGGTCTTAAAGTAGGTAGAGAGCACAGACAGGGTGCAGGCTCCCAAACCACCTGCATGCCACCTCTGTGGCCCCAGGGAGCATGGCTGGCAAGGAAGAGCTCCCTTCTGGGGATTGTGATGTAGAATCAGGAGAAATGGCCTCTAGAGACCGAGGGGAGACAGCAGGTCTCTGGCTGTGGGTCTAGACATGAGCGCTAGCTCTTGAGGAAGTTGTAGCTCTTTGGGGCAGAGAGTTGGACCTAGGGTCCCTTATGCTGGGTTTCGGGCAGAGAAAGGTCAGATAGCTGGTTCCTGTCCCATTTTTTCCTGGGGGCTGGTCAGTTTCATGGAGTGTTCTGCCTGCCATTGAATGGCCATCCTGTGGGTCTCTCCATCAACCTGCTTAAGAGGTAGGTGTGCTGCTGGGCTACAGTTGAGGGGCCAGGAGTTGCTCAGCCTTCCTGGGTGGGGCTCCAGGGTGGGGACCCCAGGACAGTTCCTGGTGGGACCCACCTCCAGGTGTGCATCTAACAAAAGTGCCCTTGCCAACCAGTGCCAGGTGCTCCAGGGGTAGAGACGGGCCTCAGGTGGTTCTTCATCCCCTCAACCCAGCCCAAGGGCTTCTAGCCCAGCGGGCTGGCAGCCCAGAGCCACTGGGCACAGTCTATTGGCAGGTCAATCTGGAGACCAGGCTGGGCACTGAAGATAGGGAGATGGGGTTTTGGGGTGTGGACAGGCAGAGATGACCCTGGATGCCCTGTAGTTGGGCTGGAGGTTGAGAAAGTTGGGGTAGGTGGGCAGTGGGAGTCTCCCCTGTTGGATGCTGTGACCACACCCCTCTCCAAGGAGGATAGGAGGGGCCAGAAAGGCACTTGAGAATTTGCTCTTATAAGAAATTTAAGCAAAAACTGATAATTTTCAGGGTGACCTGAATAGGGTTCACTTGATACTAGGATGACAGAACATGTGGTAACAGGGAGAGTGCCCAATGCACCCCACATAGATGGGGTGCAGTCTCCCAGTCCATGTGGTGCTCAGGACAAGCCTGATCTAGAGCTCACATCTCACCCCTATTCTTCCTCCCCTGCCTCCCTTCCCTCCACAATCAGGACAGACTCAGGGGAGTGTTTGCATGGTCATTTATTATAGCAGAGAAACCTCTCAGAGTAGGGGTACACGGCCAAGACCCAGAGGGGTCCAGTCATAGGGTGAGTGGTTGTCCTTGATCTTTAGAACTGTGATGACTCTTAGATGGGAGGGGGTCCTCTGGTGAAGACAGGGTTGATGGGTCTCCCTCGCTGCAGAGGAGCTGGGCTCCTGGGACACTTGTGGATGTGGAGAACATAGTGGTGGTCCTGTGACTCTGGGAATCTGCAGATGTGCACCAGCCCCTGCCCAGCTGGGATGAGGGGCCCTTCTGTGTGAGACAGAGCCCCAGCCCACCCACACCCTCAGCTTGGAGGGTACCGTCACCTCCAAAGCAATCTCCCTTTCTCTTTCCCCAGCCCCCTAGAAGGATGAGCAGGGACTTGATGGGGCTCAGGACCCATGAAACAACTGTGCTCAGCCAGCCAGGGTTTCTGGGACTGCTCTGAGAGCCTCAGGACCCCACAGGGTAAGCCTGGGACTCGCAGGGGGTGGGATCTGTCCCCAGGCACTGCCCAGTAGGGAGGGTGGGTGGGTACCTTACCCCATGAGGCGGACCAGTGATGCTCACCTACACACGGCACCTTTCTGTGGGAAAAACGGGTGATGGGACATGGTGGGGTAGAAGAGGACTGACCAACCTCCTGGGGACTGAGAGGGTTTGTGTGAGGTGGAGGCAGGAGGTCCTGGAGGGGACTATAATGTGGTCAATAACAAATGGCAGCTGCTTCCCTGAGCTCCCACAGGCCAGGACAGGTGTGTCCTGGGATGGCCACGATCACAGCAGGGTCTCACCTTTGCCCTGAGAGAAGTCCAGGACGATCTGGGCATGCATAGGCAGGGTTTTGAGGGCCTCATCAAATTTTTCCACAATCTTAGTGTCGGCACTCAGGGTCCTGGCTGTGGGGGGAGCTGGGTTAATCTCTGGCATGGCCACCCTCCTGAGGCTGAGTTTGGCTGGGGCAGTTCCCCATTGGTGGTGTCGTAGCTCAGTGCCCACTTGTCTTCCATGCCACCCACCTTGGAAAGTTGTTCTCCATCTAAATTGTTCCTGAGGCCACTGACATCCCCTCCCTCAGAGGCTGCTGGGGTCATCTCAGCCATCCCCTCAGTCACTGTGACAAATCACACCCTAAGCCAGCCTTTCAGTGTAGCCACAAACCCTTGTCTTCCCCTCTGCCCTCTCTGGCCTGCCCCTGATGTTGGTAAGCGCCCCTGTCCCTAAGCACACATAACCTACAACCTGACCTCTTCCACAGCAGACAATCTCCAGCCCATGTGACCAGGGAAAGAGAGAGGTTGGCGAGGGTGCACAGCACATGCCTACTATCAAAATGAGGGCAAAAGGTATGGGCACTATGAGGACTCAGGGACATACCCAGGTACTGGCACACCTTTCTAGGCTCCTCGGTGGCCATGGGAGTCTCCACACAGAAGAACAGATAGTGATCGTAGTCTGTGTCCAGCACTGAGACCTTCATCTCACCCTGGTCTGGAAGGGAACCGGCCAGAGACCACAGTCCATACATGAACTCCTTTAGATGTCGATGGTTGGGGTCTGTGTTCTCTTCTCAGCTACCCAGGAGGTGTGGGCTTAGCAGGGACCCTGGCCTGCCCACTCCCCATTAACCATGCCTAATGGGGCTGCCGGGAACTCTGGTGGCACAGTGCCTAAGGCATTTGACTGCTAACCAGAAGGCTGATGGTTCAAACCCACCAGCCACCCCTCAGAAGGAAGGTTGGGCAATCTAATTCTGTAGGGATACCACCCTGGAAACCCAAGGAGGGGTTGCTATGAGTCAGATCTGACTCGACGGCAGTGCATTTTGATTTTTTGAATAGGGCTTCCAGGAGGTGGGTTAGCCCAGTATAGTCAAGACAGACCATGGCCCTCCTCCTCGCCGCTGGAGTGCTGGGGAGCCTCCAGGCAACAGAAGACTGGGCTCAGAGTCACGTTGCTCTCCCTGATCAGAACCATCGGCCAGAGAGGGAGGCCGCCACTCCTGGGCCATCCAGGAGAGAGATTGACCCTGGAGGCACTCCAGTGGACACTCACAGTTGACAATGAACACAGCAGGGTCCTCGGTCTTCTGGGCAATGACGGTCATCTCCACACATGAACCATTGACCCTGGAAACAGAGTATTGGGGGTTGTTCATGAACCCATGTTATGGCAAGAGCTGGCCAGAGCTGGGCTTCAGGTGGCACCAGCACTGGGGGTGGCTGGAAAGTGAGATTTCCCTGTGTTTGAGGGGACTTGGGCATCAGGCAATGTGATCAGACAGGGCAGCCAGGAACTGAGGGGTGCTACATAGCATCTAAGGGTCCCCTGGGTGAACTGACTCTGTCATTGTGGGGCTTTGATGCAGTGTTTCCATGAGACTTATCTTACCACTGCCCACCTACCCCAACTTTCTCAACCTCCAGCCCAACTACAGGGCATCCAGGGTCATCTCTGCCTGTCCACACCCCAAAACCCCATCTCCCTATCTTCAGTGCCCAGCCTGGTCTCCAGCTTGACCTGCCAATAGACTGTGCCCAGTGGCTCTGGGCTGCCAGCCTGTTGGGCTAGAAGCCCTTGGGCTGGGTTGAGGGGATGAAGAACCACCTGAGGCCCGTCTCTACCCCTGGAGCACCTGGCACTGGTTGGCAAGGGCACTTTTGTTAGATGCACACCTGGAGGTGGGTCCCACCAGGAACTGTCCTGGGGTCCCCACCCTGGAGCCCCACCCAGGAAGGCTGAGCAACTCCTGGCCCCTCAACTGTAGCCCAGCAGCACACCTACCTCTTAAGCAGGTTGATCTTCAGGTTGTTCTCGGGTGTGGGCCACATCTCCTTGATGTACACTCTCAGAGGGGCTTTTTCTGTCTCCAGGAGGGTCAGGTCACTGGCTGCCATCACCATGGAGTGCCAGGTCCCTGTCAGCTGAGGGGGGGAGCTATGAGGGACATCCAGCAGAGCAGGAGGAGGCCCCCAACCCCACCATGGGCAACCTCTGACCCTGTCCAGGGAATCAGAGTCTTCCCAGCTTAGGTCTGCCAGTGGCAGTGGAAGCTTGATGGGTCAGGGTTCAAGGCATATTTGAGGACCCCTACTCTGTGCCAACACCTGGGCTGTGTGCTCTTCTGTGTTTGGAACCACTGTGTTCTCTTAACCCAGGGGGCTGTTTTAAGTAAGCTCCATTCGAGGTGCCAGCAACTTCATAGGTGAGTCCATCCCCAAAAGTGAGAAGGAAACATGAGAATTTGGGAGATCAATGGTCAGAGCTAGGAAAAATTCCTCCAACATTTGTGGGGTGGGAGGTGATGGTCAGTTTTATGCATCAACTTGGCTAGGCCACAATGTTGTTGTTAGTTGCCATTGAGTGGATTCCAATCCATGATTACCTAGTTATTGATCAGACAACAATCTAGGTGTGGCTGTGAAGGTACTTTTGTAGATGTCCTTGGCACCTACTGTCAGTTGACTCTATAGAGATCCCCTCCATAATGTGAATGGGACTGATCCAATCCACTGAAGGCCTTTGGAGGGCAGCCGAGATTTCCCAGGAGGGAGGAATTCCACCTGTGGATAGCAGCCTCACCTCCTGCCTGAGTTTCTAGTCTATCCTGTCTATGGATTTTGAACTTGCCAGGTCCTCCACAATTGCCTGAGCCAATTCCTTGACATCTTCCTCTCTCCATATGTATGTGTGTGTGTGTATGAATATGTATATATATATTCATATCTATATATCCATCTGCTGGTTCTGTCTGGTGCTGTCCTAACTGGTACAGGGGAAAACATTGTCCTATGACATTGTAGAATGTTGTGCATTCCTTTTGGGTTGCTTAGGTCCTGGGCTCTCCTCCCTGTCTCAGCCCCACAGCATCCACCTCCACATATCCATACCTTCATGATGTCCAGGTCTTTCCTGGTTTGGGCGATGTCCACGGCCTTAATACCACAGACGAGGGCCAGGCCCAGGGTGAGTAGGAGGTACTTCATGGTAACAGTAGTGCACTTCTGAGCTCCGAGAGTGAGAAGGCCGAGGCAGCTCAACTTGGATCTTATATAGGAGGAGAGCAGCAAGGTTCTCCCAATCCAGGTCCAGACCTGGCCCCGCCCTCCTTGAGGTTCTATGAATTCCTGCAATTCACTTCACTTAGCAGGTCTGAGGCTTTTTCTTCCAGGACAGTTTGAGGCCTTCTTTCTGGGTAGAGTGCCATTGACTTCCTGTCCTGTCCCAACAGGAAGCTCACTGTGTCCCCAGGCCTGGTCAGTTCCTGGTAGCATCCCAGACAGGAGGAGTGTGGGTTCTGCTCTGGGCTGACCTCCAGGGTCGGGGCACTTCCTGATGAAGCTCTTAGACAAGGACACATCAGGACACTGATGTGTCTGGGAGGGGACAAGTTCCTGGATCAGCTATCAAGCCAGCTCCAGAGTCCCACTGCTGACCTGAGGCAGCATGAACATCATTCTCATGGACCCCCTCTGACTGGTATCTGCACACCACCATCTCTGAATGTGCAGCAGCTTGGATACAGCAAGCCTCTCTGGTGGCCATTGTGTGGGGGTGGTAGTGACTCCCCCAAAAGCACCAGTCCCCTAGATTTTCCATTATGTCTGTGGCCAAGTGTCAGGGCCAGCCCTCCTTAGGGGAGCAGCCCCATACCAGGTCCTGGGGAACCCAGCTGATGGCTTCTGGGAGAAGAGCAGTGGGGCTCCATTTGAGCAGGCACTTCTCAGTGTCTCCTGGGAAGCCCTCTGCTGGGTGTGAAGAATTTTTAAGCTGCCCCTATGCAGCCACTCCTCGGAAGGAAGGTTGGGCATTCCTACTTCCGTAGTGATACAGCCTTGGAAACCCAAGGAGGGGTCCCTATGAGTTGGGGCCGACTCGATGGCAAATAACAACAACAACAACAACATGCAGATGGTGAGCCTGGCACACACAGGACATGGAGTGCTATTTGGTGGGGTGGGGCCTGACACACTGGGCATAGCAGGCAGGCAGACAGGCAGGCGAGTGGGCAATGGCCCATCTCCCAGTCTTCCCACTCCTCACATGTGCGCTCAGGATGGACTAGACAGCCCTAGAGAGGCTGTGGCTCATCAGGCAGGAGCATGGCAGTTCCCACCCCTAGCCAGCCCCCCAGGCCAGGCCTTGATTACACGGAGTAGGAAGAGCCAACCACAGTGGGTCAGTCTTGGGTGGTGGGCTTCCTTTGGATTGGGAGTTTGCCTGGAGGCACATTCTCTTTCCAGAGATGGCCTGGTGGAGACTTAGGGCCTTGAGTGTTATCAAGTGCTTAGTGTTGTCTCTGAGATTGTCTCATTGGGCCACTGAGTACCATTTATGCTATCATTGGGGCCTGATATAATTACCTGTCCCAAAAAGTTACCTTGAACAAGAAAAGTGAATGCTGACTCAGAGATGAGTGCACACAGTAGGGGTGCAGGCCGCAACATGGCTCTCCAACACAGGACAAAAACCACATGGGCTTGCTCAGCTGTGATGAAGCAAATTCTGGAAAAAGAGCCCTCTTTTCTAAATCATTTTTATTGTCAAATTATTCTTGCATCCCCTTGAAAATGCAGACAGAGGAGCTGGTGCTGAGGCCACCTGTTTGCTGTGTACACTGGGGGTCTGGGGGCAGCCCTTGAGAGGTGGACCATAGGGTTCTCAGGGCTTTCTAGCCACAAGCTTACTCTCTCTACTGCTGGGAGGCCCCACGTCTCCAGCTACAGGATCCCTTGTTCCCTTGCATCCTGGAGACGAACCTTGGTTGGACATGGCTGGGTACCCTGCCAGCAATGGTGCTCCCTGAGAGGGACCACACAACTCCCCTGCACCCCACATGTGAGGGATCTGGAGGGCACAGATGGCCCCAGCTGAGTATGGCTACTGAGCCTTCCAAGGTGTGGATGTGGCCTTGCCACCTCAGATTACAGAGAATATGGGTGTCCTAAGGCATTTGACTGCTCATCAGAAGGCTGGCGGTTCAAACCCATCAGCCACTCCTAGAAAGGAAGATTGGGCCGTAGATTCCCTAGTGATACTGCCTTGGAAATTCAAGGATGGGTCATATCTGACTCAATGTCAGTGAGTTTTTTTTTTAAGGTATGATCTGTAGCTGTGTCCCTCGGGGCCCCATGGAAATTGGCAAAGTCTGGGTCTGTGTGAGGTTGGCACAGGTGGCAGCAGCCCCAGGAGGCACCAGCACCTGGCTCTATAGCCCTCCCATAGAACTCACGGGCCAAGGGATTGGCAGGGGTCCCAGGGCTTTCACTCCAATATCTCAGAGCCCCACTTCAGGCTAATTCTTGGGGATCCCCAAGCATAGGGTCAGACATACTTCTGAAGGCAGTGGGAGGGGAGAAGAGAGGGCAGGCTGGGATCCAGACCCCTGCACTTTCCTCTTTTCTCTCTTCTTCCCTAGGCACTGTGGAGAATTCACAGCACCTGGAGCCCCACCTTCTAGAGCCTCTGGGCTTAGAGAAAGGACTCCAGTTTTCTGTCACAGTGACATATCCAGAGCTAGACACCCCCAGCGCAGACTTCCCGAGAAGGCCAAGCCCACTGGGGAAATGAGCCAGGCCTCTGAGGGTGGGCCCAAGATGCTCTGTGCAGAGCCCCAAATTGGCTCCTGTCATTGAGGATCCTTTTTTTTTTTTAAATTGTGATTTGGGTGAAAGTTTACAGAGCAAATTCACTTTCCATACAGCAGTTTACATACACTTTGTCTCATGACATTGACTACAATTTACCCCAATGCAACAGCTCCCCTCTCACTCCCTCCCAATAGTTACCTCTTCCCTGTGTCTATCCCTCCTTGCACTCCTGCCCCCTGAGCTGTCTCCCTGTGAATAAATAGCCCTTCTTTCTCCCATGATTGTTCTCTCCAGCTTGAGGGTCCTCTTTAAAAAAGACCAGGTTCCAGTCAGGAAAGGGGCAGTTGGTCTATTTAGGATAGTAACCATGTGAGGGGTGGAGTCACCTGAGTGGGTGGAGCCACCTGAGTGGGTGGAGCCCCTGACGGTCTGACACCCACTGGGTCGAGTGGACCCAGATCTCCTTGTGTGTTGGCTGCAACGCCCCCAATGCAGAGAGGAAGGTCTGTGCTGATGTAGAACCCTTGTGGTGGGTCACCCTATGCCTGCCCTGTTGCACCTCCTCCATGACACTAGGGACAACTATATGATGGGGAGAGAACCAGCCATGTTGGTGCTTCACCTCTGAGGACAGTGGTCATCGACTCTCCTGCCCCTGAACCAGCTTCCCAGTCCCCCAACCCCCATCAGGAGACCCATCCCCCAGTAAGAGCTGCCCCACACCAGTCATCCTGCTCTCTCAAATCTGCGTCTTAGCCTCAAGTCTACAACATCCGAGCCCTAGGGGAGCATGCTGGGACAAAAGCCTCCCTTTAGGGTAGATAAGGGGGTGCTGTGGTCCCTGCCACTTCCCTGTGCAACTAGGCCTGTACAAGTCTCCTGTGGTCCCGGCTGTGTGGGTGCTGCACATACCCATGAGCTTCATCATCCACATCATCTTGCCTTCATCTTTGCCTTGAAGTAACCAAGCTGTTTAGTAGCTCTGCACCTGTGTGGCCCACATGTAAACCACCTGCTTGCCCCCTGTGCAGGGGAGAAAGGCTCTAGGAGTTGGTGTCAGATTGGTCAATAAGCAAGGTAAGCATGGGTTTCCTTGTGCTTACTCATTACTCTGTAGTGAACAGTTTCAAAAGGTTTCTCCCACATCATTGTTCACTACAAATTACTAAATAACCACAAAGGAGCCCATGCTTACCTTGCTTATTGGGTGATCCACCCCTGCTGTGAGGGCTTCAAAGTGGTACCTTATTCATGGAATAGCCAAGAGATGGGAATGATGGGTGCAGAGTCATGAGTGGAAAAAGACCGTGGGGTCAGTGGTTGGAGAAGGCTGAGAAGCCACTGCAGCCTCTAGTGTGTAATGTTGGGGACCATTAGTACTTGGGTCCTGACTGTAAGCTACTCCCAGCACCCATGGGGACACTGTCCCACCAGTGCAGGTTAAAGTGTGGCTTCTCAGATGGACTCCTGCAGCCCACCTAAGTCTCTACCAGGCCATCTCTGGAAAGAGAATGTGCCTCCAGGCAAACTCCCAATCCAAGGCAAGCCCACCACCCAAGACTGACCCACTGTGGTTGGCTCTTCCTACTCCATGTACTCAAGGCCTGGCCTGGGGGGCTGGCTAGGGGTGGGAACTGCCATGCTCCTGCCTGATGAGCCACAGCCTCACTAGGGCTGTCTAGTCCACCCTGAGGGCACGTGTGAGGAGTGGGAAGACCGGGAGATGGGACATTGCCCACTCACCTGCCTGTCTGCCTGCCTGCTATGCCCAGTGTGTCAGGTCCCACCCCACCAAAGAGCACTCACATGTCCTGTGTGTGCCGGGCTCACCATCTGCATAGGGGCAGCTTAAAAATTCTTCACACCCAGCAGAGGGCTTCCCAGGAGACACTGAGAAGTGCCTGCTCAAATGGAGCCCCACTGCTCTTCTCCCAGAAGCCATCAGCTGGGTTCCCCAGGACCTGGGATGAGGCTGCTCCCCTAAGGAGGATGGTCCTCTCCCTACTTGCTGACCAACTTCCTGCCCTGCCTAGCACAGGGGTATCAGCTCCTCTGTGGGTCCTAGCCAGCAGGACCTGGCCTATGGTGATGGCATGCAAAACACATCCAACACAGTTGTAGTGTGGAGGCAGTTTCTGAGGCGTCATTTTCACCCCACACTGTCCTGCACTCACCTCTCCACTGTGGCCACCCAGAGCAAGCTGGAGTGAGCTCAACTGTCACACATGGTGCTCTACTAAGCAAACCTTGCACTGGGCCAGGAAAACCTGCCCCGGGATATTCCAGGTCTTCATGTCGCACTCCTCATTCAAAACTCGGCTTAGAGCTCCTGCCGGGTTCCAGGAGCACTTCCTTCAGGAAGCCCTTTTGTGTTAGGACCCTTGCCCCATTGAGGC